AGTCTGTAACAATAGTGGGATAATGATGCTTTTAAAGAGGGATCCTTCATGAAGAGTGGGTTCCCTCTCCCTCCTCCACCATGGTGTGAAGAGATTAGATAGTAAGAGAGAAAGGGAGTTCACAGGTAGAAGCAGCACCAAGGTTGATAAATTGGATGTCAAGGCGGCATTAGCAGCAAAGTCAATGGGGCATCTTTGGAGATGCCAATAGAAACCCTGTAAAGTCAATGTTAACTCCGGTAATTAATACAGAGCAACACATGATCCATGGCTATTTGCTGTAAGAGAAGAGAGTATCCAGACAGATTAAAAAGGCCAGAAAGTCCCAAATGTTCTCATTCTTCCCAGTTTTATTTTGGAGATCCACACACATTTTGTTATTCCAGAATAGTGTTGATCAGTCTCAGTATGTTCAAAGACTTTCTCTATATGCGTGTACTGTGTGCCTTCAAGTTGTTTCTGATTTATGGCAACCCTAAGGTGAACCTATCATGGCTTTTCTTGGCAACTTTCTTCAGAGGGGGTTTGTCATTGCCTTCCTCTGAGGCTAAGAGAATGACTTACCAAAGGTCAACCAGTGGATTTCATGGCTGAGCTGGGAATCGAACCCTGGCCTCCAGAGTCATAGTCATAGTCCAATACTCAAACCACTATACCATGCTGACTCCTTTGACCTACTCTCATTCTCCACAAAGCCTACACAAAATTAGATGGGAAAATATAGATTAACAATCCCAGGATTCTGTAGGATGGAGCCATGGTAGTTAAAGTGGTGTCCCTGATGACTATGGCTAAAGGCAGGATATAATTAAATTTATTATTATTATTATTATTATTATTATTATTATTATTATTATTATTATTATCTCTTTTGCACAGTTAGTCTCAAAGGTGCTACAAGATTCCTTTGTAGACTACCTCATCTTTAAACAGAGGTTAGACTGGCATCGTTCAGGAGTGCTTCAGTTATGTATTCCTACATGTAAGTCAGCTGGGTTGGATGGCCCTTGGGAGTCCCTTCCAACCCTAAGATTCCATGAGTCTATGTATATCCAAGGAGCATGAATTTCTTTTTCATTGGCTTTACATTCCTGACTCCTCTAGCTTCTGTCTCCAAATCACTGGGCTCTTTGTGATCTCCTTTTTCCTTCCCTCCCTCTTTCCACAGCCTCTTCCTTTGTTTGTCTCCTCAAGCTATTCTCTCTTCCATCCCTGCTGCCTCTTTGTTTCCTTCTCCCTCTTTAACTACCGCACTTTGAAAGTCAGCAAATAAATAGAAAAGCCAGACACAAATATTGTCTCCAGGCTATTTCACGGCCCTGGCTAGAGATCACAGCTAGCCTGGATTCAGAAACATAAAGTCTACACTTCGAGGTAATCAGGTATCATCACCCTGCCTTTCTCTCACCTTGTCTTCCTGTTCACTTTTCTTCAGAGGGCAGGCATTGTTCAAAGATAATTTATTCCACAGATTTCATCCATTGTCAAACAAAATTCAGCAGTGTATTATTCATCTTTTACAAGAAGAAAATCTGCCCAGCAATCATCTACAAGTGTGAATCATGGCTCATGATAGATCAAGGAGAGAGAGAGAAAGAGAAATGGCATAGTAGAAAATCAAAGTTCCAAAGAAAACACAGAGTGCCGTTTTTATACATACTGAGATCCAATATCATGCTTCTTCTGTGTAAGTTGTTGTTGTTGTTGTTGTTAACTACCCTCAAGTCAACTTCAACTCACGGAAAACCCATGAGTGAGACACTTCCAAAATCCCCTGTCCTTAACTGTTCTGCTCAAGTCCTGTAGGCTCATGGCCGTGGCCTCCTTGACTGAGTCTATCCATCTAGTAGAGGGGTAGGCAACCTTTCCCCTTTAAGGGCCGAGGGACTTCAGCTCCCAGAATCCCAGGAGCTATTGGCCAACATGGGACTATTGGCCAACATGGCTGAGGCTTCTGGGAGCTGAAGTTCCTCGGCCCTTAAAGGGGAAAGGTTGCCTACCCCTGATCTAGTATCTTCCTCTCTTTCTATCATCCTTCACCTTTTCTAGCATTATTGCCTTTTCTGATGAGTTGTGCTTTCTCATGATGTGACCAAAGTACAACAGCCACAGTTTGGTCATCTTGGCTTCTAGGGAGAAATCAGGACTGATCTAGAACCCATTTGTTTGACGTCTTGGCAGTCCATGGCAACCTCAGCACTCTTCTCCAGCACCACATCTCAACTGAGTTGATTTTCTTCCTATTTGCTTTCTTCACTATCCAATGCTCACATCCAAACATGGTGATGGAGAAAGCAATCATTCCACAGTGTAGGGCCAGCTAAAGATACAGCGCAAGGTAGACAAAAAGAAGAATGGAAAGGGAAAAGGAGGAAAAAATCCTACCCAGCCACTGAGCAACCAGCAAAGCTCACATTGCACTAGAGGTGAGAGGATGGGCCAAAGCTTACAGTAGAAAAGAAGGAACAAAGATGGGTGGAAGGACTTAAATAATGTCTGACTGCCTCCCTCCATTAATGTCCAGGCATGATTACATCTTAAAACTTACACCTGACCTCTCTCCATTGGATGCTATCAATAACAGCTCCTCTCTCAAAGTGCTGCACACCATATGAGAATAGAGTTGCATACCCAGGTATTGAATCTGTGAGTTATGTTAACCTACTAGGGACCCCTGCCTTAAATGGCATTGTCTACTAGAGAATACTAATGAAAAGGAATAGAGCTACAATTTTGCACTGCTGAATGATGCATTTTGAGGCTCAAATGCTGCCCTCCTCCCTATCCCCAACCTGTATCAGTGGGAGGTGAGGTTATTCAGAAACTCTTTTCAAAACCTCAGCTTTCAAAACCAATGAGAAACTCTCAGGAGAGCTGAAATTATCAGTGAGAAGACATACATTTCTCCTTGTAAAATGGGAAGAAAATCATGTTAGGCCAGAAATGAAAATGGGCCAGTTCCCAAGGGAATGAGAGAAGGTCATATGTGAATGTAATGGAGAGTACAGACTGGATGTATTCCACGAAAAAGACCACAATGATGGCACTGCTCCAAGTCAGAAACTTCCTTGAGCATACATTAAGACAGTGTTTCATCCCCCCTGCTCACCCTTTTCCCCCTTTTTTTTGGGGGGGGGGGGAAGTCATCTAAAGATATATTTCAGCACAACAACCCAAAAGAAGTTTAATCAACAAAGAGGCATTTGAAAGATACAGCACCAGAGGCTGCCAATGGCTTCTATGTTAGGAGTGTTGTGACTCTGTGCACATGTCGCATGCCTTCAAGTCATTTCCAGCTAATGCTAACTCTAAGGTGAACCTATCATGGAGTTTTCC